TTTTCAAAATAGAGATTTGCTTTCACATGAACATATTCATTATTTCCTTATTGTTATTGTTGTAGGGCCTCCATATAAATAGCAAATCCTTTCTACAGCTTTGAATTCCTGGTTCCGTTTTTGGAAAACCAAAGTCTTGTTAATCTATATTCAAGATACCAGTAAAAAGTGAAATTAACTACTAAAGCAGTTTACACCTTGCTGCTGCTTTACTTTGTTTCACTAAAGATAATAACTTAAACACTGCTCTTAACACAACAGGCAGCAATAACAATTCTTTGAGTCAGAACGTCTTGCATAGTATCTGGGGTTTAGCCTTGGTCCATCTCAAGGACTCAGATTGGGGTTAAAAAAAAATTCAAAAAAAAACAGAACAGAAAAAAAAAATTATGGGCTTTGGTCCTTGCAGGGTGAAGGAGGAGGGGTGGACTAACCAAAAAGACAACCTTCCAACCCACACATGCAACAAGGATAAGGAAATATATATTATACACCAACTGTTTTTATTTAGTTTCAGAACTGTTCACAAGATGGTAAAAAAAAAAACAAAACCAAACCCCAAACAAACTTACAACCACTTCTAATTTAGTCTTCCATTGTTCCCAGTCAGCTCTAAACCCATTATGTGCAAAGCCCATTTACCATGCATCTAAATGATAGATACAGGCTATGAAATTCTTTATTCTACTTGTAGCAGCTTATGCAGGTGCAGCCAAATACCAAGCCTCAGGACAACTTGTACACAAACTTTACAATGGTGAATTTGAATTTAAAATAAGAAACTTAAAAATCTACACAAAACTGGTAAAAATCAAGCACAGATACAAGGACAAACTTAAAACCCATGTGAAAAGGAGTCTCGTCTTCCTTTCAAGTGCTTTATTCTGCTACCCAGTCAAAATGAAGATGTAAGTGTTGTGGTTAGTTTAAATTACACTCTGTAGATACTATAGACCAATTTAAAAGTTACACATACAGCAAGAGATGTCCATTGGTTCATCTGGATTACTTATACAATCCGTCTGGATTGCTGAAAGCAAGTCAGGCAAAATTTGAAAGAAAATCCTTGTGCAACTTTTTAGACAAACGTTTACTGGTGGGCACACTGTACCCCAGGTCCATGATGGCTGCTTTCTTCATCAGAACTATCATTGTATGCTTCACGTCTCTGGCCACCACCTGACCCACGAGTGGTATCAAATTCCTGAAGATCTACTTCTTCTGTGTCTCCAATTACATTAGGAAATTCTGGTCTAGCTGGCAGAAGATCTTCAAGTTCCTGCCAAAGAGGGGCATAGTTAATACTGTACCAGAAAACAGAGTAACTTGAATAAAGGTGTAACACCTTTATCTTAGGCCTTCTCTACATGAAGCAGCAGCAGCAGTTTAAAATCTTTAAGGTAATGAAATCATCTACTCTTTATTAACTGCACATGAAGGGATTGCAGGTAAAGCATACAGAAATATTCCAGTACTTGAAACTTTAAAAGTAGAAATGGAGCACCTTTATATTAGTGCAATTTTCATGGCCCAGGACGCAACTGGCCAGAAGGTTGCATCATAAAAACACTGTGCCACTTTATTACATCCATCATTATGGTAGATGTTTGAGGAGGCCTTTAATTTAAGCTTACAAATTAATGGAGGCATTTCAGAGTCACTTGTGCATTGTAAAGGATGTTAAAAAGAATGAACAGTTGAGCTGCTCTAATTCAAGTTTAACAACAGGAGAGGAAGTTAAAATTAGTCCCTTATACACAACAAATCACAAGAGAAGTAAAACACACCTGCATTCAAACTTAAAGGCTACTTACTGAAAGCTTTTCTGGGCTAATCCAGTTATTTTCAGGAAATTGCACATCAAACTTTATATAAAGATCTCCTTTTTCAAAAGGATTGCGATATTGTGGCATTCCTTCACCCCTAACTACCCGAACACACCCTAGAATTTGGAAAAAGGATATAAAAGATAATGGTTAGTTTACCTAGAGGAGACCTGTATTGTAAGTTTTTCCTTTGCAGTCACTTTTCTGAATATCTCTGACCTGGGCTTAAGTATCATGTTACTTTCCCCCCTTTCCCACTGGGACCCCAGCCAGGGCATGCGTGGCTGGGGCAGAGCAACCCCTGTCAGGCATTTCCTACCCCCCATGCCCAAGTTTTTATAGCAAATCAAAGTTTACCTGGTTCAATTACTTTTCCAGGAGGATATTTTACCACAATCTGACGTCCATCAAGGTGCTTAAACGTGAACTGAAATCCACATAGTGCTTCAACAAGTCCGATCTTGTGGGTCATATGCAAGTCATTGCCATCTCTCTGGAACACCTATGAATGAAAACATTGTTTTTTAATACCACTGCCACAGCTCCACTCTCTACCCCTCAATTTATTATTCCATATGCCTACTCCAAAACTCCACCGAAAATGAAAGAGCACTAATCAGTGCTCCTTACAGGAATTTTTTTTATATAATGAAGTGCACAAAACAACATCAATATAATCTTGTGGTAATTAAATCCAAAGGGCTGAATGCTGCTTTCTTGCAAATGTTACTACTTAATGTCAGAATAAAACTCCAAAAATATTTTAGTCACATCTTCCCACGATTAGAAAAGAAAAACAGATACCTACTTAAATGCATTCAAAATAAATTAAAGCCTCACAGTCTGCATTTTACTGACTGAATTCTGCCTGTTCCAAGGTCTTCTACGCAGAGACAAGAGCAAAAAGACAGGATTTGTAGGCCTTCAGATTCTAGATCTTTAGGTGATATTTTGCTTAGTCTCAAGTTTGCAGGTGAAAGCCATCTATCCAAAGCACTTTTGTTCACTATTTTTGTTCTTTTTCCAGTTTAAAACCGAGTAGTCAACATGAAACTGAAGGCTCAGAGATACTTAATTCTAGCAGCAAGCCCCAAGTACTTCTCCAATGGAGCAATGCAGATTAGGCATACAAAATTAACTACAGCACAAGATCTGCAAGAAATAATTCCAAAACTAAACAAGTAGGAATTGTCCTTCTCTTGTATATGTTAAATTAACGTTGCTCCCAGCCTTTAAGACAGAATCCGTTGTGGACTATTTCTTCAACTGCTATCTACTGAACAATCAGCTGCCTTAAGTGATCCTTAAGTGCAAGGCAAACTATTTAAATGCATCTCTTTCCACTCTCCACCAGGAAGATTTAAAACATACTAAAAAAAAAAAAGTATGTAAGCTGCAAGATAGTTATTCTTGCTTAGAAGAAACCAAGGGCTGAACTAGAAGAATTACTAGTAGAACAGGCTGTAACAAAGCAACAGACAACTAGGTTTATATAGTACAGCACCAAACAGCTCAAGGCACCAAGACTGAGAAATTCTCCACTCTGAAGTACAAGTTGCCAACTACATATTGAGGCAGAAGTAGCACTAGTTATACTGCTTATTATTTTTAGCCTTTTCCCTTCATCCAGTTACATCCGAAAGGTTAGGGGTGCACCAGTACAGATTTTTTGGGCTGATACCGATGGCCGATTTTTAACGAGCCATATTGGCTGATACCGACCTGATTGCCAATATGCGGCTTGGCAGCTTGGAGAGCAGTGTCTGGCTGGTAAGTTTGTTGTGGGGGAAGGGGTGGGGGCACAGAGGCTACTGCAATGAGGGAAGGAGTGGGGCTGGGGCAAGGGCATGGGTACGGGCAGGCACTGCCCAGCTGGGGCGGGGGACAGAGCTGCAGCTTGTCCAAAGAGCGCAGCTTCCACAGCTACGAGCACCCCAGGAAGGCATGGGGGGGGAGGGGGAGTGTGGCATGTGCCCCAACCACACATACCCTGGCTGGGATCCCAATGGGAAAGTGGGGAAAATAACCTCCCTCCCTGCACCCTTCACCTTAAGAGGGCCATGCCAGGCTGGGGTCTGGCTATGCCCCTGCCACCCCCCAGCCTGCCAAGGGCTGCTTTACCCCTGCCCTTCCAGGCACACCCTGGCTGGGGTCCCAGCAGGCCAGGGTAGGGGTTTAAATCCCTCCACAATCATACTCAGGCGTGCTGGGGCCTGACCATGCCCCCTCCCTCAACTCAGCCTTCCCCTGCTGGGCCACTGGGGAAGGGAGGGAAGGACTCACTCTAGCACCCCCAGGCTTATGGCTTGAGCCACTGCAGGCATTTGCCTGCATTTCCAGAATCAAAAGTGAATGCTACCTACATCAACGGAAGCAGGTAGGTACACACCAAGTCCCTTGCCCCTCCCTCAATCTAGACAAGCAGTGGCAAAGCTACTGTCAGGGCAGCCATGGGAGCCGCTTTCAAGCACAAATCAGCCTCACCATTGTTCTTCTAGGTTTGGTGTATACACATGGGGATGTGGGTGGGCAGGACATTTCCAGAACACAGTGTAAATGCACCACAAGGCAGGGTTATGAAGAGATGTTTCCCAATCTTTCAGCTAACACACTGTCAAATACTGGCTTTATACACAGTTGTACATGCTAATGCCAAGCTGAAGCAGATCCATACATATATTAAAAGGCATTTTTGCAGTTTGTGTAAGGTAACCTTGCTACAGTTTAAAAAGTTATTTTTATGACCATGCTAAAACAAAGAAGCTGCATATCAACAGTCTATGTATCTATTACAAACAAGACAGCTTTCCCTGTCTATTTAAAGTGTCCCTTTCTCCTCCCAGTTGTACAACATCTTCAGGCAACAATATCAGTACCTCTGTTAGATATTTGAGAAGGTTTCAATTCCAGTCAAAAAACAAATTCCAGTACCAAATGACAAGTTACCTCATTCTCCTTTTCTTGGAGCAGAAGGACAATGTCTCCTGGTTCTACACCTGGGGCCTGATCTGCTTCTCCACTAAATGTAATTCTCTGTCCATGTTTCATGCCTTTATCTACATGAACTTCAAGTATCTTTACTTCTTTGATCACCTTCTTTCCTTCACATTTTTTACAACGATCTTTTTCATTAATTACTTCACCTAGAAAAAGAAGAATCATATTAGTTTTTCCCTTTCTTTTTTAAAATCTCCTTGAGAATATAATACCATTTATTTTAATGTATAAGTCTAAGAGAACCAGTTTCAGAGACTCTTAAGAGTTTTGTTTTGTGTTACTGTTTTCCTCCTGTGGGATGCAGCAGTATCTTCTTAGGAGAAGGATGCAAGAAGCTCTAGGCATACATACAGGTAGGGGCAGGAAGACAGCAGATCAAATTACAACCTAGGCCCCTCCCACACATTACACCCAAGACATGATTAACCAGTTACTCACATCTTAAGCTTTAAATTGGTCACATGCTAAAGCGATTAATGGCATCACAAAACACAGAACAAGCCACAGAAGTTATTCCACAAAAAAAGTATAGTAATTTTGCAGCTTGTTCCTACCATGTCCTTAACTGAACACATGGTACGTTTGACCCCATAGCTGGGACCTGGTCAGCTGATTGGGCTCCCAGTTGCAGGAGCTTGCTACTAGCTGGTATAAGGGAAGTCAGGGTTGGGATCCTGGGCTCCCCCCTGCATCAGCAATACAGTGTAATAGAATCTGATGCTCAATTCTAATCATGCCTCCTGTGATGCACGTGTGGCATGGCAAGAAGCACAATTGTGTGGATCACACATCAGGTCCCATCATGCCTTTACCTGCATACCTGGCAGGGGTCCTGGTGTGACAGCACCACTGACATTCTTCAAAAAGACCAGATATTCAAAGTGTACGTGGTCTTAATTCAAAGTATTTTCCACTTTGAAGATCAAAGAACTTTTGTTTTGCTTTTCATAGGAGATGCTCTAGAATTGGGCTTTTGTTTTTTTAATCCATTTGGTCTTGCTTTTCAGCCGAATTGCCTGCACTGTATTAGACCAGAATAACCAGAAAGTACTAGGCAAAATGGACTGTATGACCTAAGCATTCTGGTGTTCAGTATAGTTTGTATTGCTGCTTTTATTTAAGTACTACAAGCAGAAGCAAATGTTTTGTTTAAGTAATTACCAAGTCACAACTTAGTCATGTATCTATGAAACAAAATTTGATGCAACATTTGGATACAATTGTACCTAAACTTTTTAGATTAATCAAGACAGTAACAATATTTTTTTCTTGTTTGCTGAGAAGTTTGCCTAGTCATGTTAAAAAGTAATCGTGCATCCTACCAAAAACAACAACCCCACCCCCCCGTCATTACTCAATATTCAGGCAGGTCAAAAAACGTAGTAAAAGGCACAAAAGCAGATGGTCCTAAGCTTACTCCCCAAACATGATCAGCGCAAATAATTGTTTCCCCCTCTTTCAGGAAGCTGCAGAACTGTTTCAGCTGTAACCATTTTAAAATATTTCTTTTCTGAACAAGAATGATTGATAATTCAGCTTGCAAAGATACAGTCAAGCTGCTGTCTCAGTTTTATGGCCAATCCCTTTTACAATGCTCATCAAGGAGTGATAGCACCAAAACAGCAGAACTGTGCATGCACGTGCACATTTTTTCAAGCAGTAGCACCTGTTATTCAAGGCCAAAGTTTTCCCTAAGCACACCAGACTTGCCAAGTTATGCTGATGTGTGGCTACACAAAGAAATATCCTTTAGAAAGCAGAGCACAATCAAATTCATTACTCACAAATGAACTTTAACCTAGCATCTCTCCAAATAAGATGCAGTTTAACACATGCTAAAATCTAGATTCTAGCCAGTTTAAACATTTAAGACAACACAGAACAATTGGCCTACCTTCTCCATTGCAATCAGAGCACACAGACTGC